ATGAAGAGGTTAAAGTAACTTCATTTGGAAATGAAAAGGCTAATGTAAACTCCCTACTCCCCTCCTGGGCAAGGTATCAGAAGGAGACTGGCTCTCCCCTTTGCTTCTAGGCAAGGACAATTAGCTCAGAAGGAGACAAACTGTCTGGAACAAACAAGTAGCCCCCCTACACACACACCCAGAGTAAGGTGACCAGACCCAGAAGTCCCACTTTTGGTGGGACAGTCCCGATTTTTAACAATTTGTCCTGCATCCCGTGGCATTTTTAAAAAGCCCCAATTTTTGGAAAGAATGCACGACAAGCTAGGGAACATGGGAGAACAGGAAGGGCATATACGGTTTTCGGCTGCCATGTGGCTATTTTGCCAGGATATGCACTTTATATTCTTTTTGTTAATTTTATAATGTTAAACTTTAATAATAACAAATAATTGTTGAGAACTGATTATTGAGAACTGCTTATCAAAGTTTGCATTGTTGTCAGGCCCCGCCCTCCCCTCAATGGTGTCCAGCTTTACCAATGTTAAAATCTGGTCACCTTAGGTATAACTGAACCTGGATGCAGCCTCTCCCTCAGTAGAGGAGGTAAACTGAGTCCCAGCATGTTGATCAGACAACTTAAGTGAGTACTGCAAGGAGAATTTTAGCCAGTGGTCTCTGGCATGCTGGGACTATTGTCTACTTCCATCCATTATGTTGGACACCTCCTGGGCCCCTTCAGTATTCCCCACTTTAACATCTCTCTGTTCTCTCTTCCTGGAATTCCAATTATTCAAACTTCAGATTCCTGGACTAGTCCTCTAATTTTCTTATCTTTTCATTCTTACTTTCTAATTCTTTATATAATTATTCTGCTTATTGGAAGACTGCCTCCATTTTATCTTCCAATAAAGGAAGGTCCCCCATGCTTTTTTGTTCTTTATAAATGTTTTAGCATCCACTTTTTTATTTCATAGCTACAACCTTTTATCTCTCTGGGGATATGTATTTGTTTTGTTTTGTTATAAGTTTGCTCCTAACTGTATAACTACTGTTTCCTTTGAGTTGGGATTTTCTGGCACTTTTTGTTCTTGTTTTCTGTGGTAGTTTTGTTCTTACATCTGGTAATACTTGGCCACATGTCTTTGGTTGATGAAGAGTGGGGGACTAAAGAGCTAATTAGAAGCCTCAGGCATGGGAATGAGGCCTATCAACTCCGAGCTTCTCTATAAGTTTATCTGGATGGGCCGCTTTAGGAGGAAAACCCCGTTGTTGTTGCCTTCAAGTAATTTCTCCTGCTAGAGGGTGAGAGTCTGGCTGGCCATGTTCTGAAGTCAGATGAGGAATGAAGGCTGGGGGGTCTCTGTTTTTACCAGGCAGTTAAGTATATGGCCATTCATTCCCCCTGTTTCACTGGCATTGCACCCACAACTGTGAATGGAATTTCCTTCCAACCTCTATACTTTCTAATCTATAACCAAGTTTGTAAAACCACCCTAAAATTGCCAAACTAGTATATATTTTATGGTAGTTTAACTTTTATAAATGCTTAAAAGCTTATTGGTGGCTTATGGTCCTAGAACCATACTTCATAGGTTTGAAAACCAGAGCTTAGGTAGTTTATTGAATTCTTCTGCGATTCAGTTTGTTTAACTTTAAAATAAGTGTAAGTATCTACCTCATAGTTTTATTGACAAGATAAAATGAGTGAAAACATCTAAAAGTACTTTGAACAGTACTGTTCTTGAGTGTGTGTGCACCTGCTTTTGAAATTCAAAATATTCCCTGATTTTTAATTACATAGCACATCCCTTAGATAAAATGAGTGAAAAAAGAGCCAGGCACAGTGGCTCACGCCTATAATCCTAGCACTCTGGGAGGCTCAGGCAGTTGGATTGCCTGAGTTCACAGGTTCGAGACCAGCCTGCGCCAGAGCAAGACCCTCGTCTCTGAAAATAGCCAGAAGTTGTGTGTGGGGGGCATCTATAATACCAGTTACTTGGGAGGCTAAGGTAGGAAAATCACTTGAGCCCAAGAGTTTGAGGTTGCTGTGAGCCATGACATCACAGCACTCTACTGGGGGTGACAAAGTGAGACTCTGTCTAAAAAAATAAAAATAAAAACATCTAAAAATACTTTGAACAGTACCCAGGCTTTAGTAAGCACAAAGTAATACCCAGAAATTAGAATTAAAATGCAATTTAGTATATTGACATTGCATTTTTTTCAAGTACAAATCCTTAACATAACTTTTGTATAGTATTTATAAAATGTAATCACCTTATATACCATTGAAAATAAAAATATTCAAAAAGTTAACATTTGCCCTTTCTTTAGTAGGGAAATTCAAGGGATTTATAACAATCTCTAGTGTATACTTACCCTACACTTCACTACTGTTTTGTTTTCAAAACTTAAAGGAAAATAGTACCTTTAATTTCCATTATAATCACAATGACATAAATTAGGACTATGAAGAAACCATTGTATATTTTAATTTAATAAAGCCAGTACGTTATTGATAGCAAGCTGAGCTCTGTGAAATAATTCCTTCATTCTTTAGGAGACAGGTGTCTTTAAAAATTACTTCTTCCTTTGGCAATTAAAATCAATCAGGGTTTTTGCCTTTCTACTATCAAAGTGAACTCTCTTTTATGTCTTATTGCTTAATTAGAGGATTTAAGTCCTCCCTGCTGATAAAAATGTTTCACCACTTAAAAACTAGCATTGCAGTATCCCACCTGCTTTCTGTTTGAAGTTGCCTTTATAGAGCATGAAGCAAGAGTGACATCTAGTGATCAATACATTTATCGCATGCAACTATGTCTGGAATTATTTCCTTTGTGTTTTAAGGCTTCTTTCTACTAAAAACAAACTTTTAAGTGTGTTCTTTTATATTTTATCAACTTCAAAATTGTTTTTAGGTAAAACATGTAAAAGATTATGGAAATACTAAGGGATGTGCTATGCAATTGAAAATCAAGGAATATTCGGAATTTTAAAAGTGTGCACGCGCACACACACACACACACACACACACGAACAGGTAGGAGTCTCCCAGAATAGCAGTTAGATGTACCTTATTTGATTGGTAGGAGAGATGAAACCTGATTTCATATTACAAAAAGTATATTCGTTCTTCTGAAAATATGAGGATTTTACAGATTCCTTTCACAAATCTTTTTCAAGTCCAACAACAAATCCAGCAGATTATAAAGACAATATATACCAACTCTGAACTAGGAGAACATGTCTGATCTTGTCTACACATTTCACAAGGCATCAATAAAGAATAATTTAAACTAAGGTAAGTGTAAATACCAGAAGTCAAAAGAGAACTTCCCTCCTGGAAAAGTCAAGATGTTACAGGAAGACATGGTTAAGAACTTCTTTGGTGCTGTCCAGTCTGGAAGTGCTGTATCTGATGACAGGAGCGTACTATGAACAAGACACGGAACATATTCTCTGAGGCCCTTTAGCCATTGCCACTGAATTACTGTGTCTGTATAGTATGTCTTCAGTCTGAGTAGTTTCAGTCCTCTGACTTTGTTCTTTTTCAGGTTTAATATTGGCTATTCCAGGACTTCTGCTTCTCTCTATAAACTTAAGAATCAGTTTTTGATATTTATAGATTAACTTGCTGGGCTCTTGACTGGCACTGCATTGAATCTATAGGCAACATCGGGAAGAACTGACATTGTGATGACATTGAGTCTTCCTGTCCCTGAATATGAACTCTCTTTCAACTTATTTCATCCTTTGATTTCATCAGTTTTGTAATTTTTCTTATAATAGATCTTATGCATTTTTGTCTGATTTATGTATATGTATTTCATTTTTGTGTGCTGATGTAAATGGCATTTTTTTTTTAATTTCAAATTCCACTTGTCCATTGTTCGTATATAGGAAAGCAATTGATCTTTTGGTATTAAACTTGTGTCCACCACTTGTTAGTTCTAGGAGCTTTTTGCCCATTAGTTCAGTTTTTCTGCATAAATGATCGTGCTATCTACTGAACCTTTTATTTAATTCTCCATGCATATAATACATGTTACAACTCTTATATATTTTTAATTTTAATTACCAAATATTTTATAAAAAGAGAATGCAGGCTGGGCATGGTGGCGCAAGCCTATAATCCTAGTGCTCTGGGAGGCAGAGATGGGGAATGGCCAAGAAAATACAGGGAGACCCTCTCTCTACAAAAAAAATGGAAAACTGAGCTGGGTGTAGGGGTTCACGTCTGCAGTACCAGCTACTCTGGAGGCGGAGGCTGGAGGATCACCTGAGCCCAGGAATATGAGGTTACAGTGAGTTACAATGATGCCTCTGCATTCTAGCCAGGGTGACAGAGCAAGACGTCTCAAAAAGAAAAAAAACAAGAAGAAGAAAAAGAAGCAGCAGCAGCAGAGAACGTAGGGATGAAGTTACAAAACATCTTTCTCTAGTAAATCTCTACAAGATAGGCATATGGTCAAACCTCTTATTTTACAATTGATGAAATCTGTATTTTGTGTCTCAAATGGATTTCCTTTTATCCTGAAAAGCAAAATCATCCTTAGATGATAATCAGTTAGAAATTCCATGTCTTCAGGTGCCTCTTCTACAGGAGCTTCTAGCTGGGGCAAGAATTGAGTTGCAAGCAGAGAGGGCACAATGAATGTAACAGCCCTGGATGAAGGCTTGCTGAGCACACATGGCCACACATTCTGGGTCTTTCCCGCGCCTTGCTGGGTACAACCTGACCCAGGCTAACAAACTCTCCTGCGGCGATGGTCTGTCCAACAAGGCCAGGTGAGCTACATGGTCATGTTCAAAATGGCTTCGGCAGCTTGGCACAACACTGGGGCCACAGGGGGAAACTGCACAGAGATTCCACAAACACCTGTGTGAGGATGTCCTCAGCTGCAAGCAGCGGTGTCTGACAGAAGAGCCCGCAGAGTCTACTGCGGGCCCTGCTCAGCTGGACGTGGCCCCACATCAGAAACTGGCAGGGGCTGCTTTTCCCACTAAAACATCATATGGCGGATGACGCCGATGCAGCGGGAGGGACTGGAGGCACCAGGGGCCCTGGAATGGGAGGCCGTGGTGGTTTCCGTGGAGGCTTTGGCAGCGGCATTCGGGGCCAGGGTCGCGGCCATGGTCGGGGTCCCGGCGAGGCCGCCGCGCTCTCGGAGGCAAGGCTGAGGACAAAGAGTGGATGCCGGTCCCCAAGCTGGGCCGTCTGGTCAAGGACACGAAAATCAAATCCCTGGAAGGATCTATTTCTTCTCCCTGCCTATTAAGGAATGTGAGATCATTGATTTTTTTTTTCCTGGGGGCATCTCTCAAGGATGAGGTTTTGAAGATTATGCCAGTGCAAAAGCAGACACGTGCTGGCCAGCAGACCAGGTTCAAGGCGTTTGTTGCCAGCGGGACTACAACGACCATGTCGGTCTGGGTGTTAAGTGTTCCAAGGAAGTAGCCACTGCCATCCGAGTGGCCGTCATCCTGGCCAAGCTCTCTACTGTCCCAGTGCGGAGAGTCTACTGGGGGAGTAAGATGGGCAAGCCTCGCACTGTTCCTTGCAAGGTGACAGGCCGCTGTGGCTCTGTGCTGGTACGTCTCATCCTTGCTCCTAGAGGAACTGGCCTGTCTCAGCGCCTGTGCCTAAGAAGCTGCTAATGATAGCTGGGATCCACGACTGCTACACTTCAGCCAGGGGCTGCACTGCCACCCTGGGCAACTTTGCCAAGGCCACTTCCCCCCCCCAAGTTTTGAGCACTTATTTTGCCAAAGCCACTTTTGATGCCATTTCCAAGACCTATAGCTCTCTCACTCCTGACCTCTAGAAAGGAGTATTCACCAAGTCTCCTTACCAAGAATTCACTGACCATCTTGTCAAGACCCACACCAGAGTCTCTGTGCAGAGGACCCAGGCTCCAGCTGTGGCTACAACATAGGGTTTTTATACAAGAATAATAGAGTGAATTAAGTCTATTAAAAAAAAAAGAAAGAAAGAACAAAGAAACTGGCAGGTGGCCTCTGCTGCCATCTAGTGCCCACAAGTGAAAACTCATAGCCCCAACCCCCTAGAAAGACTGCAAGACAATGGTGTAGTTCCGGTTAGACTTGCCCAAAAGAAAAATATGGACAGATTTGGAAAATTATGAACTCAGAAGTGATAGCCAAGCCCCATAGGGTCCCATCCAAGCATCTGGATGAGCCAGCTTCCCCCAAGCTCCGACTTGTCCATCTGTTCCAGTGATTTATTTAGAACAACTGGTTTTTTCATGATCCTTTTTCCCCAGAACTTTACTGTCCCTACACTTCTCCAGTTGTGTACTAATTCCTAAAATAAACCCTTAGTCCATATACTCACAGATGACTTCATGGAGACAGTAATCACCTGCAGTAATCCAGGACAGCAAAATGGGTGCTCCGTACCTGTTTCCCTACGTAACTCAGCTCCAAATAAAAATCCCAGGAAGCCGTTATCTGATTAGCGGATTTTTTTTTTTTTTGAGACAAAAATCTCTGTTGCCCCTGGCATCACCCTACCTCACAGAAACCTCAAACTTCTGGGCTCAAGCGATCCTCCCAGAGTGCTAGGATTACAAGTGTGAGCCACCATACCCAACCTAATTAGTGGAATCTAATTCACATTGGCATTTAAGTAAATAAAGAAATTGGAAATGATTTTGTTTTGCTTTTAAGTATTAAAATTTGGGGATGGTATTTTTATTAGTCAGGTTTCTGTCTGAACTAGATGATACTCTTACACTGGATAATTGGAGGATAGTTTAAGCAAGATAGTTTGAAAGTGTATCTTCACCACCTTCTCCTTCTGCCCTGTGGATGTTCTCGTGTCTTCTGTGGGGACACACTCTCCTTCACACTCCCCTACCATCATGCTCACCTCTCACTGTAGTTAATTCCTGCCCACCCTTCTGATATTACATCAACTATTGCTTCCATCAGTAATAATTTGTAAATAATGTTGAAATAATTGTTGCTTTCTACCACAAAAGGTTTTCTGTATTTGTAGCATAACCTTTAAAATACATGTTGAAGATCTACAAGGCTCTGTGAATTATTTACAATAGTCATTCTCAATTTTAAAATCCTACCTCATCATAGACCAATATGTTTATAAAATACAAATAAAGTCATAAGAAAAAATAAGTATTAAATTAAACTAAATTTAAATTTTACTGTCAATGTAAAATTATGTAAAATTGTCATTAAACGTTTCTTAATGCATATCCTCAATTATGGCTGCACATATGACAGTAACTATCACCAGGAGATATTTTTAAATATAGTACTAGATTCCTACTCTAGACAAACTATATGAAAATCTCTGGAAGGTGAGACCTGGAATAAAAAAAATACATTTATATATGTATATATATATATACACATATATTGCTGTTGTTGTTATTTGTTCTTTTGTTTTTAAATCCCCCCACAAATCTAGCATGACGCCATAGCTGAGAATCAATTACCCGAACTGATGAGTTAGTTAAATAAGGGCAACTGGCCGGTGCAGTGGCTCACACCTGTAACCCTAGCACTCTGGGAGGCTAAGGCTGATGGATTGCTTGAGCTCAGTAGTTTGAGATCACCCTGAGCAAGAGTGAGACACTGTCTCTAAAAAAAATAACTAAAAACTAAACAAGAGCAACTGATTCTTCTTTTCCTCTAGCTACTTAGCCATAAAGCCTAGGATGGATTATTTAAAATTCTAAATTAATTTATTCACAAAATCTTTACATTGAAAAAACGGCTTGAGGCATTTATATTATGTTTGAATACTATAGTCCATTTAGAAAGCATGACATTTTGCCAGTGTAATTTCTTTAGTACTTGTCTTTCTCCAGTATTTCCTTTTTATCTCTGAAGTACTTTATCTTAATTATTGAAGTACTGGTATGTTAATTGTTTAGAAAATCTTGCATAAAGGTCTTTGTCTCTCTTTTCATTTTTTCTTTCTTTCTTTTCCCTTTTTTCTACCTATTCATTTAACATAATTTCTTCTCTGACCCTTTTTCTCTTGTCATACCAACTCTGATGGCTGTTTACCCTTCCAGTAGCCTGTCCTAGAAAGTCAGTGAGGGGGAAGGCACAGTGGCTCATGCTTGTAATCCTAGCACTTTGGGAGGCCAAGGCGGGAGGTTTGCTTGAGGCCAAGATTTCAAGACCCGCCTGAAAAAAGACTGAGGCCTCATCTCTACAAAACAATAGAAAAATTAGCCAGGCATGGAGGAGTGTGCCTGTAAGTCCCATCTACTGGAAAGGTGGAAGTGGGAAGACATCTTGAGCTGAGGAGTTGCAATGAGTTATGATGACCCCGCTGTGCTTTAGCCTGGGTGGCGGAGTGAGACCCTGTTTCAAAAAAAAAAAAAAAAGTCAGTGACAGGGCTCAGAATGTTCTACCCTAAAATATGGGATTTTGGTATAATAAATATTTTAAGATGAATGACTCTGAGAAAACCACAGCAGCAGGAAGGTCTCTCTGAACTTCTTTCCCCTTCTGCCCTGAAGTGCTGATAAGACTCACAGGTAAGAGGCACCTCCTTATATGCACCAGAAAGGAGCATTGGGAGGATCTCAATTGAAAGACACAATCCTGAATGCCATAAACGCAAATGCTGAAATCCCAAAGATCAAAATCCTGGAGCTCAGGGCAAGGTGGCTAACAGGTACCAGCGTCCGACAGAAGCTCCCATTCAGAGGGACGGATAAAGTCCAGAAAACACCCCAACAAAGTTGAAGACTAGGAGCCCAGCCAAGAGAGAAGAGTCATACCTGCAGACACCTCTGCTGAGGCAAGCTGCCACTGCTGGAGTGCAACTTACAGGTATATGGAACATCTCAAAGGAAAAGTGTCCATCCCCTCCCCCAAGAGAGCGGTGTTTTTCTCTTTGTTTTCTCTTCGTCTGCTCCTGTAAGCTTCCTACAGGCAAGAGATGAACTGAGGATCTATTATTTCACACAACGTGTGAGAGCTAAGGGCAGTGGGGTCTACTCCTCTAGAGGGACCCTGCTGAGACACTGAACACCCTTTCACCAGGCAGAAAAATTGAACTAAAGTTTCCACTGCCAATATGTATCTCCAGTTCACCCTTCACTTGTTCCCTGCAGAGACAGTGAGAGGAGGCCCAAGAGTAGCGTTCCCCCACCCATGGCACCAAGCGCACTCTTCCGGCCCTGCAGCCGCATGTTCCCCCTGGCCACTGCCTTTCCCCTGCCCCGGGGTGGCCTGGCTGGCCGAACCAGGACTGATCTGGTTGCTGCCGCTTCCCTGCCCTCTGGTCACCCCAGCAGGGCTGAACCAGGTCTGATCTAGCCACGCGTGTTCCGACGTTGCTATTCCCCTGATCCCTGGTCGCCCCAGTGGGGCAAACTAGGACTGACCTCGCCACGTGCGTTCCCTGCACAGCTGCTGCCATTCCCCTGGCACACCACCCATCCACCCCCCTGCCCCTGCACAGCTGCTGCCATTCCCCTGGCACACCACCCACCCACCCCCCTGCCCCCATCGCCCTGGCGACTGTAAAGTAGGACTGATTTGGCCACTCCTGTGCTACCTAATTTGTACCTCCAATCTTGGAAATAATGCAAAGACAAAATACATAGCATAGCAAATTGCTTTAAAAGGTTTCTAGGTATTTCTCAATCCAATCAAATTGATACCAAAATTATGTCCACCAGTGTACCCCTTGTCAGCCTGGCACCCATATGCATCTCCTTAAACCATACTCAGTTCCCATAAAGCCAGTAAGAAGCTCTGTTTAACACCATGTCCCTGTCCTGTAAACACAATTTTCAGGATTTTAGACGTTAGGGATTTTAGACTTTTGAGATTTAGCCTTTAAGGATTTTGATCTTTTGGGATTCCAACAATCAGCATTATGGTGTTCCAGATGATTGGGGGCCAAACCAAGAGCATCTTATCTCCAAAGACAAAGAGATGTGAACAGGAAATAGGCCTTGCTAAATTTTTCCCAGTTTATTGCCATTAGCTCAGACCCATTTTGCCCCCTCATGTTTGTCGTTAAAAGACGCTTACTATAAAATAAAATTCAGGTTTAACTGTTTCTTTCTTTCTTTCTTTTTGAGATAGAGTCTCATTATGTCACCCTCGGTAGAGTGCTGTGGTGTCACAGCTCACAGCAACCTCAAACTCTTGGGCTTAAGCGATTCCCTTGCCTCAGCCTCACAAGTAGCTGGGACTACAGGTGCCTACCACAATGCCCGGCTAATTTTTTTTATTATTGTTGTCATTGTTGTTTAGCAGGCCCTGGCCAGGTTTGAACCCACCAGCCCCAAGGCATGTGGCAGGTGCCCTAACCACTGAGCTACGGGCACCAAGCTGGGTTTAACTGTTTCTTTGAGTCTTCATTTCCTCATGAAGTCTGTCATATCATGAAAAACTTATTAAATAAAGTTAGATGCTTTTCCATGGTTTATCTATCTTTGTCAGTTAGATCCCAGCACAGCCAGCCAGGGACCGTGAGAGTGTTAGAAAAAACCTTTCTTCTCCTATATCAGATTGGTCTAATCCATATCCTCAGACATCTTAGGGTATTTTTACATAAATTTTGAGAGTTTTACCACTAAAAGTATTCTTTTTCTGTTGTCTTTCCTTATTTATTTATTTATTTATCTTTGGTTTTTGTGGTTTTGTTTTTAAGATTTTTTTCATGGAAGCCTGGGCTTGGTGGCTCTCACATGTAATCCTAGCACTCTGGTAGGCCAAGGCAGGTGGATCCCTTGAGTTCAGGAGTTCCAGATCAGCCTGAACAAGGACAAGATCTCTCTCTACTAAAAAAAAAAAAAAAAATAGAAAAACTAACTAGGCATTGTGGCAGGGGCCTGTTGTCCCATATACTTAGGAGGCTGAGGCAAGAGAATCACTTGAGCCCAAGAGTTTGAGGTTGCTGTGAGATATGACACCACAGCACTCTACCCATGGTGACAAAGTCTGTCT